GAATAATGAACAGTTGAAAAAAAAAAAAAAAAACATTTAACGGTTAAGTTGAACACTTTTTTTCTCTCTCTCTCTCTCCCTCTCTCTCTCTCTCTCTCTCTCTTTCTTAATTTGACAATTAACAATTGTAAGCTAAATGATTACCGTTTCATTTCAAATTATTTGATTTCATTTCCTGTTTGATACTCTTAAATCACTTTTTTTTTTCTTTCTCCTTCTCTCCCTCTCTCTCACTCTCTCTCTCTCTCTGTCCCTTTCTCATTGATTTTCTTTGTTTTTTCATCTTTTCCCTTTGTTGAAGTAACCTTTTTCAGATTATTTATGTATATTTTCTATTAATTAATTAATATTTGTTAATTACTTCCGATTTTGAAGATTTTTCAAATATATTAGCATAAATGATGATAATACTGATAACATTGATAACACTGATAACGTTAAATAATATCAATAGCAAACAAAGATTTTAATTAGATCATATGTAATTGTATCAGATCATTTTTTTTTTGTTTTTATTTATTTATTTATTTATTTTTGAGGTAAACAAGAAAAAAATAATTAGGTAAACAAAATTCATAGCTAATATATTGATTGTAAGCATTATTATCACCTCAAATTATCACCAATATCACTACACTTTCCTTTTTTTTTTTTGTTTTTATTTAAATTGTTTATTACAATTTCTTGTTGACATTAAAAATTTTTTCTATTTTATCATTTGCTTCTTTATTTACTATTAATTGCTAATATCATTGTTATGCTATTTTATACGATATTATTGCAATGTTTTATCATTATCATATGATATCATTTTTTTAATTATCATTATCATATCATATCTTTTTGAAATTATCATTATCATATCATAACTTTTTAATTATCATTATCATATTTTTTAATTATCATTATCATATCATATCTTTTTTAAAATTATCATTATCATATCATGTCTTTTTTAAATTATCATTATCGTATCATATTTTTTAATTATCATTATCATATCATATCTTTTTTAATTATCATTATCATATCATATCATATCTTTTTTAATTGTCATTATTATATCATATTTTTTTTCATTATCATATATTTTTTAATTGTCATTACCACATCATATCGTTTTTACTTATCATTATCATATCATATTTTTGATTATCATCATATCATATCTTTTTTTAATTATCACAAAATTTCAAAATGCAGAAAAAAAATATAAGAAAATAAAAAAGGCAAAAAATTGATAATTTTGCAATTTCATTAGCATAATGTGTAAACAATCTATGTTTAATTAATTTTTTTTTGACAATCTATGTTTCTATGTTTAATTAATTTTTTTTTTCTTACTTTTTTATGAAAAATGACAAAAAATTAAGAAAAAAAAAGGAATAAAGTTGAATTTGAAGTAATAATTTAATTTTTTAAAATTATATTTTTAAATAATTGAATTACTAAAGCGTATCTAATTTTTTCTTTTTTTCACTATCAAATTAATTAATTAATTTTAATGATTTATTTCACATATTGAAATTAATGTATTCGCAATTAATTAGCATATTTTTTTTTTTTTTGCATATCGACGCTGTTTTGTATAATATTAATTTTAAAAAATCAATAATTATATTTAAATATTTTTTTTTATTCAAATTTTTTTTCAGGCTAATTATTTGATCGATGATGTTAAATGAAAAATTTCAACGATTTCATTGCAGTTAACAATTTTTGCAAATTTTAAGTGGAACATTTTCGGTACATTTGGTACTTCAACCTAAATGCTATAATTATAATTATCGTTCGACAATTTCAAAAAACGAAAGATAATAATTTAAATTTAAAAAAAAAAGAAAGGAAGAAAAAGAAAGAAAAGAAAAACGAAATAAGAAAAAATTCGATATAAAATATTTTTAAAAAAAAATGGAAGTACATCAATCACTTCCGGCACGATATTTGCATAATCCATATTTGGTGAAAACAGAAACAACATTACAACAACAACAACAGCAGCAACAACAACAACAACAACAACAACAACAACAACAACAACAACAACAAATTCTTCCACCTCAAGCAATAGTGGTAACGGTAACTGCAACAAATCAACAATCAACTTCATCCGGTGTTTCCGAATCATGTTCCCTGCCATCATCATCATCATCATCGTCATCATCATCATTATCATCATCATCGTCATCATCATCAACATCATCATCAGTAACATCCAATCAGCATACAACGACGCATACGGTAGATGCAACAAACAGCAATAGTAATAGAAATAATATCAACAATAACAGCAGTAACAATATCGATGATAATAACAATAATAACAATGAAAACAATAACAATAGCAACAATACGATCACTAATATACAGCGACAACAACAATCTGGCAATGGAGCTGGTAAATATTATAAATTGCTTAATAACAACAAAAAAAAAAAATTCAGTGATAATTTTAATAGCAATTAAAAATAGATTTTTGAAGTGAGATGTAAATAAAATATTTAATTGAAATTTAAATTAATAAAATTTAGCATAAAAAATTTGATAAAGTGATGTTGATTATTTATATGATTTATTGATGAAATAATTATTTTAGCTAACATTATGAAGTTATGCATTTGAAATAAAATTTGAGTAATACTGAAGTTTTAACTTTTGATAAAATTAATTAAATCATTAATTTTAGATTAGTTTAAAAAGAACTTTAAATTCTTTTTTTTTTTTCAACCTCAAAATTAGCAATTGGAAAACAAATGTGCAAATAATAGGAAAAATTAGACGAAATGATAATTTTGATAATTTGATATTCGAATTTCAATCCAATCTTTAAAATTTGATAGTTTGCTATTTTAAATGTGATAATTTGATATTTGGAATTTGATATATATGAAAATAATTTAGCAAACAAAAATTAACAAAACCTCTTCTTATCGTTTCATTATCACTTATTTTTGTGACAAATTTTTTCAGATTTTTACTAATATTTTTTTTTTTTTTTGGTTCAAATTTTCAACTACAAAAATTAGAATTCAAAATTATTTTATTTAAGTTAATTTTGTCCAAAAAAAAGAGAGAAATTTATGTAGAATTAATAATTTAAAATTTTTTGTAATAATACAAAAAAAAAATTTAAAAAATAAAGAAAAGCAAATAAATTAGATTAAATGAATTTTTCAAGTAAAATTTTACATTTTTTTTTTTAATTTGTAAATTACGTAACAATGAAAAAAGCAATAAATTATAATATACGTAGAATTAACGTCAAATTTCACGCATATAAATTTATTGTTTAAATATATATTATAATGTAATTGTTATTTAATTATGATGTAATACCAAAAAATAAAAATTTAATAAATAGAAATTAAATTTGTTATTTAGGTATATAAAATGATGTAATTGTTGTTTGCTTATGATTTAATATCAAAAAATAAAAATTAAATTTATTGTTTAAATATATAAAATACGTAATTGTTGTTTACTTATGGCAAATTAAATTTATTGTTTAAATATATAATAGTGTGAATCGTTGTTTACTTATGATATAATACCAGAAAATTAAAAATCAAATTTATTGTTTAAACATATAAAATATGTAATTGTTGTTTACTTATGGCAAATTAAATTTATTCTTTAAATAGTGTGAATTGTTGTTTACTTATGATATAATACCAAAAAATTTAAAAATTATATAAAAATTAACTTTATTGTTGAAACATATAAAATATGTAATTTTTGTTTACATATGGTAAATTAAATTTATTGTTTAAATATTAAATATAATTTGTTGTTGAATTATGTTATAATACCAAAAAATTAAATAAAAATTAAATTAATTGTTTAAATATTAAATAGTATGAAATTGTTATTTAATTATAATATAATACCAAAAAATGAAATATCCTTTTGGGAAACAAATTAATCATTTTTAAATGGTAAACAACTTTTATTACTTTTTTTTTTTTTTAAATTAATTAATTAATGAATGATTGTTTTTTTGTTTAGTAGTAAGAACAGATTATCGTTTATACGGGCATGACATAACTACAGCTACTGCTACACCAACAACAACAAATACTCATCCATCATCATCAGCATCAGTATCAATATCAGTATCAGCAGCAGCAGCAGCAGCATCTAATATTCATCAAAATGGTTATTTATTTTTGTAAACATAACCTTTTTATGTAAACAATCATATACCGTTACGGAAACGGATAAATAAACTACATGAATGCACTTTATAGTGATGTATTTTTTACATAAATGAAAAATATGTGTAAAATAAATATATATATATATATTTTTTTTCACTTTAAGAATTTCAGTTTTACTTTCTAAACATAAACTTTCTGTGTAAACAATCATATACCGGAATATAATCCGTTACGGATACGGATAAATAAACTACATGAATGCACTTTATAGTGATGTATTTTTTACATAAATAAAAAATATGTATAAAATAAATATATTTCTTTTTTTTTTCACTTTAAGAATTTCAATTTTACTTTCTTTCCTTTTTTGTTTTTCGTTTGTTTTTTTTTTTTTTTTTTTAAATTCAATTTGTATTGGAAAAATAATTTTCTAATTTGTCATTTTGATAAAATTTCTTTCCTTTTCATTTCTTAATTTCGTATTAATTAAATTTAATTCATTAATAAAGTTTTAATTTCTTTATCGCTTTTTTTTATTGAGTAAATAGGTAAACGAAAAAAAAGGTAGTAAGAGTTGAAGTAATTGTTTATGTTATTCAATTTTATATAAAATCAAATTCAAATTAAATATTATTATCAATTATTATTTGATTTGCATTACAAATTAATACAAAATTAAGCCAAAATATATTCAATAATTTTATTTCTTCATTTAAATTTTTTCAGTAATTAATTTAATTTAATTTAATTTAATTATTACTTTTTATTTTAGGAAGGCCATTAACAGCTGATCGTAAACGACCATATAATTGCAATATGTGCTCATCACGATTTGGCTCTAAAATGGAACTTGAAGAACATCAAAATTCACATACTGGCGAGAAACCATTCGAATGCAATGTATTTTTATTTATTTATTTATTTATTTATTTGTTTATTTATTTTCTTTTTTAATAAACAATTTTTTATATAAATTATAAACATTTAATTTTATATATAACATTCAATTTCTTAAATATAACACACAAATTATTAACATTTTAATAAAATAAGTAGAATAGAATGTTTTGTTATTTGATTATATCAATCTCTTCTAATCATTTCATATTTAAATATACATTAAGTTGAATAAATTATTTTAAAAATTAAAAATTTGATTAATTCTACATTAACTTGAATAAACACAAATATGTTTAAAAATTAAAAATTTGATTAAATATATATATTGAATTGAATAAATTATTTTCTGAAATTAAAAAATTGATTAAATACACACTAACTTGAAAAATTTATTACTGCAACAGTAACAATAATAGCAACAACAATAACAACAAGAATGACATTATTAATAATATCACAAATGTACTAATCTAATCTAATTTAATCTAAATTTTATTCAAATTACAACTTCCTCTTCATCATAATCATATGTCGATTAAATATACAATGACTTGAATAAATTATTTTGAAAATTAAAAAATTCATTAAAATATACTACTGAGTTGAAAAATTATTACTATAACAATAATAGCAACAACAATAACAATAACACTGTTAGTAACATCACAAATATACTAATCTAATCTAATCTAATCTAATTTAATTTAATCTAATCTAAATTTCATTCAAATTACAACTTTCTCTTCATCGTAATCATATGTCGATTAAATATACTAGAATAATAATAATACTAATATATATATATATACTAGAATAATAATAATACTATTAAATAAATTATTTTAAAAATTAAAAAATTGATTAGAATATACTATTGAGTTGGAAAATTCTTACTATAACAATAATAGCAACAACAATAACAATAACACTGTTAGTAATATCACAAATGTACTAATCTAATTTAATTTAATCTAATCTAAATTTCATTCAAATTACAACTTCCACTTCATCGTAATCATATGTCGATTAAATATACTAGAATAATAATAATACTATTAAATAAATTATTTTAAAAATTAAAAAATTGATTAAAATATACTACTGAGTTGAAAAATGATTACAATAACAATAATAGCAACAACAATAACAACAAGAATGACATTGTTAGTAACATCACAAATATACTAATCTAATTTAATCTAATTTAATTTAATTTAATTTAATCTAATCTAAATTTCATTCAAATTACAACTTCCTTTTCATCGTAATCATATGTCATTGTTGTGTAACAAATAAATCATAATTGTGTAATACATTAAGCTTTCGAGTTGTAAAATTTTTGTTGCCAAAAGTTCAAATTTTACTAATTAATATTACACTTAAGTAACATTTAAATGAAGCAAATAATAATAAGAAAAGAGAAAAAAAAAAGGAAAAGGAAAGAAATAAAAGAGAAAATATTAAATAATAATTTTATGCAAAACCTGATTTCATACAATTTTTATATTTTCATTTAAATTTATGAAATAAACAAGAACAAAACAAATGAAACAAAGAAAAAAGAAAGTTAATAAATAAAATTTAAAATAATTTGAATTCATTTTGTTACAAAATTTTGCAAATATATGAAAAGTTTTTTGATAATTTCATTAATTCCTAAAAATTATAGCTGAAAAAAAAATTTGTTTTTTTTTCATCATTGTTTAAAAAAATAAATAAATAAATAAACAGCAAACTATAAATAGAACTGGATTTTAGATTTTACTATTAAAATGTTTTTTTTGTCTTTTTTAAATGAATTTATTTTATTTTTTATTTATAGTTAAAAGTTACAATTAAAAAAAAATATTTTTTATCATAATTAAAAAAATAAATAAATAAATAAACAGCAAACTATAAATAAAATTGAAACTTAAATTTTACTATTAAAATATTTTCTTGCATAAATTTCTTTCATTCCTAAATTACAGTTAAAAATTATAATTGAAAAAATTTTTTCATCATTAGCTAAAAAAAAGTAAATAAATAAAATTAAGCTTTAAATACAAATTGAAATTTAGATTTTACTATTAAAATATTTTCTTAAATGAATTTTTTTTTATTTCTTAGTCACAGTTAAAAAATTATAATTAAAAAAAAAAAACATTTTTTTTCATCAAATAAATAAAAGTTTAAAAAATAAATAAACAAATAAAAATCAAGTTATAAATGGTATTGAAACTTAATTTTTGCTATTAAAATATTTTCTTAAATTTCATTTTTTAAATTATGATTAAAAAAAAAATTTTTTTTTTCATCATAGTTAAAAAAGAATAAATAAAATAAGTAAAATCAAAAACTATAAAAGCTATGAATAGAATTAAAACTTAATTTTTGCAATTTAAAATATTTCTTAAATTTCATTTATAATTGAAAAATTTCTAATTAAAAATATTCTTAAATTTCATTTCTAAATTATAATTAAAAAAAAATTTTTTTTTTCATCATAGTTAAAAATAAAATAAGTTAAATCAAAAAAACTATAACTACAAATTGAAACTTAACTATAAATACAAATTAAAAGTTGCTTTGTTTTTGTTTGTTTATTTTTTCAAATGTAATAATTTTCATTTCATAAATTTTATTTTTCTTTTATAATTAATTAAATAAAATAATTTATTGCAGATGTGTAAAGAAAATTTTTTTTTTCATCATAGTTAAAAATAAAATAAGTTAAATCAAAAAACTATAACTACAAATTGAAACTTAACTATAAATACAAATTAAAACTTGTTTTTGTTTTTGTTTGTTTATTTTTTTTCAAATGAAATAATTTTAATAATTTTCATTTCATAAATTTTATTTTTTCTTTCATAAATAATTAAATAAAATAATTTATTACGGATGAAAATAAAATAATTTAAATTAAAAAACTATAACAACAAATTGAAACCTAACTATAGATACAAATTGAAACTTAACTATAAATACAAATTGAAACTTGCTTTGTTTTTGTTTGTTTATTTTTTTTTTAAATGTAATAATTTTCATTTTATAAATTTTATTTTCTCTTTCATAAATAATTAAATAAAATAATTTATTACAGATGAAAATAAAATAAATTAAATCAAAAAACTATAAATACAAATTGAAACTTAACTATAAATACAAATTAAAACTTAACTATAAATACAAATTGAAACTTAACTATAAATACAAATTAAAACTTAACTATAAATACAAATTGAAACTTAACTATAAATACAAATTAAAACTTAACTATAAATACAAATTGAAACTTAACTATAAATACAAATTAAAACTTAACTATAAATACAAATTGAAACTTGCTTTGTTTTTGTTTGTTTATTTTTTTTTAAATGTAATAATTTTCATTTTATAAATTTTATTTTTTCTTTCATAAATAATTAAATAAAATAATTTATTACAGATGTGTAAAGCACGATTTAATCGTCGTTCAACGCTTTGGAATCATAAACGAATTCATTCGGATGATAAACCATTTGAGTGCAATGTATGTCGGATGACATTTAAATGGAAAAATTCATTGAAATGTCACAAAGAGATGCATCAAAGAAAAAATGAAATGACAGGAATTGAAAGTGATCCATTAGAAAAGACACTTACTTATGCGACAGCAGCTAAACGACGACATGTTTGTTTTTATTAAACTTTAATATCTTTCTTTTAAATTTAAGCGAGAACGAAAAAACAGAAAGAAAAGTTAGAGTGAGAAAAAGAAGAAAAGATAAAGTAAACAAATTAAACTAGTTAAGTAAAATTGATAAATAATTAATGATAATGATAATATGTTAAGTGAAATTAATAAATAATTAAGAGTGGGATTAATAATGATGGTGATAAGTTAAGTAAATTACTAATTAATGATAAGATTAAAAATAATGATAATAAGTTAAGTGGAATTAATGATTAGTTAATAATAATGAGGAGCTGAATAAATTAATAATTAATAATAATGATAAAAATTTAAGTAAATTGCTAATTAATTAATGATAAGATTAATTATAATGATAAAAAGTTTAGTGAAGTTAACAATTAATTAAGAGTGGGATTAATAATGATGGTGATAAGTTAAGTAAATTACTAATTAATTGATGATGAGGTTATTAATAATGATAATAAGTTAAAGGAAATTAATAATTAGTTAATAATAATGATAAGCTAAAATAAATTAATAATTAATAATAATGATAAAAATTTAAGTAAACTGCTAATTAATTAATGATAGGATTAATTATAATGATAATAAGTTTAGTGAAATTAATAATTAATTAATAATAATGATAAAAAGTTAAGTAACTTACTAATTATTCAATGATAAGATTATTTGCGTTTATATTTGCTAAAATTTATATTAATGATATTATTTAACTTTTAATATTTTGAATAAAATTAATTATTATTAAATGAATAATTTTGTAAATGATAAAAAAATTATTGGAATAATTAAGTAAGTATTACTTTATAAGTGTTAATAAGTATTACTTACAGTATTAAAAAAGTGTTACTTTTTCTGCAACAATTAAATTTTCTCACTTATTATATCAAAATTTTTTTATTTAAATATCAAATTTTGATAAGTTAAGTAAATTACTAATTAATTAATGATAGGATTAATTATAATGATAATAAGTTAAGTAAATTACTAATTAATTAATGATAGGATTAATTATAATGATAATAAGTTAAGTAAATTACTAATTAATTAATGATAGGATTAATTATAATGATAACCTTCTTTTTTTTTTTTGCATGAAAGTTTATTTAAGTAATGTAAAAAGTTTGAAAAAAAGAAATGGAAAGAGCAAATAAATGCACATTTATACTTAATTACATTATCAGAATTTAATCAGTAATCATTTGATTATTTTTTTTCTAAATCATTTTTTAACAATCAAAAATATTCTATTTAAAAATTTTTTGATATAAATTTTTTTTTGAAAAATATTTATATTTAAATTAATAATAATAATTGCATAATTATTAATATAAACTTCCTTCTTTCATTCCTTTTTTTTTCATTTTTAAATTTATAAAAAATTTAAATTTAAAATTTCAAATGAAATAATTTTTCTAATTTTTTTTTTAGCTGGAAAATCATGATATTATAAATGCAAGTTCAAGTTCAGAAACAGGAATGGGTAGTATCCGTTTGACAACAAGTTCAGCAAGTGGTATTGGTCATTTGACAGGTTCAGGAAGGCGACGCAATGCCAAATTATCAGTGCATTCAAGATCGATCTTATCAACTGGCACTGATCTTATCATTGGTACTACAAATATCACAAATAATCCTAATCGAAACAATAATACAATCAATACTACTACTACAACAACAACCAATAACAACAATAACAATAACAACAACAACAATAACAATAACAATTCAAATCATTCATCACTTATTGGTTCAAATGATGCATTTATTCATGCACCATTACAAGCGGTAAGAAATATTTTTTTTTTTTTTGTTTCTTTTTTTAAATTTCAAAAACGAAAATTTCATTTTTTTTTTGAAACATAAAATTAAATTTATTTCATATTCAAAAAAAAGGAAAAATATTTTTATTTTTTGATAAATGATAAAATATTAAATTTATTTTTTTTAGTTATTTTTTCAATATTAAATATTATTAAATTTTAATATATTTTAGCTAATAAAATAAATAAATAAATTTTTTTTTTTAAATTAAAAATGATATTATTTTGTTAATAACTGTAACTTTAAAGCTTTTTTTGGTTTTTAAATGAAATAAAAATGATTGCTGTTGTTGCTCTTTTCTTTTTTTTTTTGCTAAAATTAATTAAATAAAATAAAATAGCTTTTGCTAGATGAAAAGAAGTAAGAGTATAAGTTTTTATATTTTAAAATATTTATATTTAAAATTTATATTTATTAATATGATTTATAATTATTTTGCTTCTGAAATATTATTTCTGGTAGTATTTATCAAAAATTAAAATTTTAAAATAAAGTAAAAATAAAAATAATTTTTTTAAATAATACTTTTTTCCCATTCTTAAATTAATTAATTAATTAATTGAAATGGTAAAAGAACTTATTTTTCAACAGTCATCATTACTTAACGATCAACTTTGTTAACTAATAAGTTAGTAAGATGAATTGATTGATTACTTACTTACTTACTTCCTTACTTAGTTACTTACTTATGTCCTATATTTTCAACAAATTTTATTGACAGAAATGAATCTTTTTTACCTTTTTTTTTGATTTTATTACAACAACCTGGAATTTTAACTGAATTTACCTGTACTTTTTTTTGCATCATTTTCATTAGCACAAAGAAATGGTTATAAAAAACAAAAAACTTTTATCAAATAATATGTTTAAAATATTAGCAACGTAATAGGTTCAAAATAAAATGTAAACAAAAATTAAAATTGTAAACAAAATTAAAAAAAAAGTTTTTTTTTTGTTAGTATTAAAATTTGATTTATAATAATAATAATAATTTTAAAAAAATAAAAATAATAAACAAAATTTAAAAAATAAAAAGTTTTTTTTTTGTTAGTATTAAAATTTTAATTTATAATAATAATAATTTTAAAAAAATAAAAATAATAAAAAAATTAAAAAAAAGTTTTTTTTTTTTTGTTAGTATTAAAATTTAATTTATAATAATTTAAAATAAAAATAAGCATTTATCATTAAATAAATTATAATATCTTTAAAAATTCTTATTTTTTTTTCCCCTTCTTGCATTTAATTTTGTTTAATTTAATGAAAAGAAAAAGGTCACATTTCTCTCTCTCTCTCTCTCTCTCTCTCACTAATTTCTTGTTTTATCACATTCCTTATCAATTAATCATTTACCCATCGTCATACTGTCATTTTAGTATTGCTAAAAAAAAAAAAAGGAAAGAAAAGAATTCGTAAATATTTTCTTTTATTTATTTATTTTTTTGAAATTTTTCAAATTTTTTAAATTAATAAATTTGTTTGATTTTTATCATTTATATTTATTAATATTTAAAAAAAAATTTCTTTTCAGGATGGTTTCCTAAATATTCAGAAGATATTATCAATAAGAGATCATAAAGAATTGAATTCAATTATTTATTTATTTATTTGTAATCTATCAAATTTTTTAGATCGATAAATTTGTTTATTTTTTATCATTTAAATTTTTAAATATTTAAAAAAAAATTTCTTTTCAGAATGGTTTCTTAAATATTCAAAAGATATTATCAATAAATGATCATAAAGAATTGAATTCAATTATTCATTTATTTATTTATAATCTATCAAATTTTTTAAATTGATAAATTTGTATAATTTTTACAATTTAAATTTATAAATATTTAATTCCTTTATTTATTCATTTTTTTTGAAATTTGTCAAATTTTTTAAATTGATAAATTTGTTTATTTTTTATCATTTATATTTATTAATATTTAAAAAAAAATTTCTTTTCAGGATGGTTTCTTAAATATTCAAAAGATATTATCAATAAATGATAATAAAGAATTGAATTCAATTATTTATTTATTTATTTGAAATTTATCAAATTTTTTAAATTGATAAATTTGTTTAATTTTTATTATTTAAATTTATAAATATTTAAAAAAGAATTTCTTTGCAGGATGGTTTCTTAAATATTCGAAAGATAATATCAATTAATGATCATAAAGAATTGAATTCAATTATTTATTTATTTATTTGTAATCTATCAAATTTTTTAAATTGATAAATTTGTTTAATTTTTATCATTTAAATTTATAAATATTTAAAAAAAAAATTTTTCAGGATGGTTTCTTTAGTAGTCAAAAGACATTATCAATAAGTGATCATAAAGAATTGGATTCATTATTAAATAGTACCACACGTTTAACATCAATGCTTAAAGATGATTCAGCATTTAAAACTAATTTATGGTTTGTAATTTTTACTTTTTAAAAAAAAAAAAATTTAAAAAATATTTTAAAAAGAAAAACAAATAAACATTTTATTGATGTGTTTATATTGCTAGTAAACAATGCTAACTGTTTTTTTTTTTTTAATGTATAATTGAAAAAATTAAATGAGTTGTATTACTTTGTTAAAAATTTTTTAGTTTTATTTTTTTTTCCTTCTAAAATTTAAATTTAAAATTTCGATTAGTAAAGTTTATCAGTTGCATATTTGATAGATTATATTAAAAAAATATTTAAAATAAATAAGTAAGTTATTTACTTTTTCATTAGTTATTATTAAATAATATTTTTTTTTTTAAACTGATGCAAAAAAAATAGCAATTTAATGAAAACTATTCTGAATAAATAAATAAAATAGATAAAAAATTAAATAAAATTTTTTTTTTGTTTTTTCAATTTATTATTTTTTTTAGAAAAAATAAGTGCAAAATTTTGAAATGGATTTATTTTTTATTGAAAAAAGTACTGAAATTAGTAGAACGATACTGAAATTATTAGAAAGATTTTGATTTAAAATTAAAATTTAAAAAGTAATTTTTAAAATTATATTCTAATGAGAGCAGTTAGAAAGAAGAAAGTAAATAATTTTTTATTTAAATTTTCTTTTTATTAATTACTAATTTTTCAGCGATGATTTAGCAAATTTGGGAAATCAAAGTAATACATTTGATACAAAACAAGAAATGAATGTAAGTTTTTTTTTTTCAATTCTAAAAAAAAATTAATTTTTTAAAAACGAAAAATAAAAGTAAAAAAGAATGAAGCAGAATTGATAAATTTAACTTTGTCATAAAGAAGACATAAATAAATTTTGGCAATTTAAAATTCACTTTAAAAATAAAATTGAAATTATTTAACTTTGTCATAAAGAAGACTTGAAAATTTTGACAATTTAAAATTCACTTTAAAAATTAAATTGAAATTATTTAACTTTCTCATAAAGAAGACTTGAAAATTTTAACAATTTAAAATTCACTTTAAAATTATTTAATTTCAATTTAATTTTTTTTAAATTTAGTCATACATAAATGTCAATATCCTTTCTTGTTGTTATTTTCAAAGTTTCATTTGAATTAACTTTTCTTAGCTTATAACTTTGTTAGCTTAAAACTCTAAATTAGTAGTTTTAATTTAAAAAATTAAAAATAAATGCAAATTTTCAGCTTTTCCATGCTAATCCATTTATGATGTTCGGTGCTCATCAATTAGTAAGTTAAATTACACTTTTTTTCATTTTCATTTTTAGTTAAATTTTTGGTAAGATTAATTAGCTAATTATTAATTACCATATTTATTCATTAATTAATTTATCATTTTATGTTATGTTTAGCTTCTAATAAATTAAAATTGTAGTAATATTTTTAATAAGTTTTATTTTTTTTATATTTAATAACATATTTGATAAGTTATAATTTACTTATATATATATTTAATAAGTTTTTATTTATTAATTAATTTATCATTTCATATTATATTTAATATTTAATAAGTTAAAATTTTGATAATATTTTTAACAAGTTTCATTTTTTATATTTAATAAGTTATAATTTAATTAATAATTATTATAATTAATAAGCTATATTTAATAAGTTATAAATAATAAATTAATTAATCCATCCATTAATTAATTTATTATTTCAAGTTATATTTAATATATTTTTTTTTTAAATTTTTCAATGCAATTGTTTGTATTATTTTATTATTTATTTTTCATCATTCCTAATTTAGCTGAAAACTTTTGTATTAATTTTTAAAAATAATCCTTTTTATTATAGCTAAAAATAAATCGATTGATTGATTTTTTCTTGATCAAAATTTTATCCGAAATATATTATTTAAAATTGTGAACAAATAGCAAAATATTTTATATGAGCAAATTATTTTTAAAACTTAATTTTGATCAAATAGCACAAAATTAAAATCATCAAAAATTTGTTTATTTAATATTTGTAATTTCAAAATCTTTTTTTTTCTAATTTAATTGTGTTTACTTAATTTTTTATTTTCTGCAAATTTTTTTTTTTTGATGAAATTTTTTCAAATTAATTAATTAATAAATTAAATTTAATTTTACAGCAAAATCCAATGCAATCATTTACGCCACCAAATTTGGCTTTTTCAAGTAGTAACGGTGGTTGCGGTGATTATTTTCATTTACATTTAAACAATCAAACTGATCAAATAACACAACAAAGCTTACAACAACAACAACCATTCGTATCGCAATATTCTAGCGGTGGTACTTCATCACAAACCACTGATATGTTAACTAATCATAGTCATAATGTGATTAGTTATCAGCCACAGGTATTACCTTTCTCTTTTACTTCTTATTGACTGAGTAAAATGTGATTAGTTATCAGCCACAGGTATTACCTTTCTCTTTTACTTCTTATTGACTGAGTAAAATGTGATTAGTTATCAGCCACAGGTATTACCTTTCTCTTTTACTTCTTATTGACAGAGCAAAATGTGATTAGTTATCAGCCACAGGTATTACCTTTCTCTTTTACTTCTTATTGACAGAGCAAAATGTGATTAGTTATCAGCCACAGGTATTACCTTTCTCTTTTACTTCTTATTGACTGAGTAAAATGTGATTAGTTATCAGCCACAGGTATTACCTTTCTCTTTTACTTCTTATTGACTGAGTAAAATGTGATTAGTTATCAGCCACAGGTATTACCTTTCTCTTTTACTTCTTATTGACTGAGTAAAATGTGATTAGTTATCAGCCACAGGTATTACCTTTCTCTTTTACTTCTTATTGACTGAGTAAAATGTGATTAGTTATCAGCCACAGGTATTACCTTTCTCTTTTACTTCTTATTGACTGAGTAAAATGTGATTAGTTATCAGCCACAGGTATTACCTTTCTCTTTTACTTCTTATTGACAGAGCAAAATGTGATTAGTTATCAGCCACAGGTATTACCTTTCTCTTTTACTTCTTATTGACTGAGCAAAATGTGATTAGTTATCAGCCACAGGTATTACCTTCAATTTCTTACCTTTCTCATTTACTTCTTATTGACAGAGCAAAATGTGATTAGTTATCAGCCACAGGTATTACCTTCAATTTCTTGCCTTTCTCATTTACTTCTTATTGACTGAGCAAAATGTGATTAGTTATCAGCCACAGGTATTACCTTTCTCTTTTACTTCTTATTGACTGAGTAAAATGTGATTAGTTATCAGCCACAGGTATTACCTTTCTCTTTTACTTCTTATTGACTGAGTAAAATGTGATTAGTTATCAGCCACAGGTATTACCTTTCTCTTTTACTTCTTATTGACTGAGTAAAATGTGATTAGTTATCAGCCACAGGTATTACCTTTCTCTTTTACTTCTTATTGACAGAGCAAAATGTGATTAGTTATCAGCCACAGGTATTACCTTTCTCTTTTACTTCTTATTGACTGAGCAAAATGTGATTAGTTATCAGCCACAGGTATTACCTTCAATTTCTTACCTTTCTCATTTACTTCTTATTGACAGAGCAAAATGTGATTAGTTATCAGCCACAGGTATTACCTTCAATTTCTTGCCTTTCTCATTTACTTCTTATTGACTGAGCAAAATGTGATTAGTTATCAGCCACAGGTATTACCTTCAATTTCTTACCTTTCTCATTTACTTCTTATTTACTGAGCAAAATGTGATTAGTTATCAGCCACAGGTATTACCTTCAATTTCTTACTTTTCTCTTTTACTTCTTAGTTACATGCTTGACTTAAATAATTTAATTAAGTATTTGAAAAACGAATTTTTCACCATCATTGCAGAAATAATTTTTAATTTAATTAGCAAATTTATCGAAATTTAAAATTTGTACTTTTATTCAAATTCAATTTTATCATAGTATAATTTCAAAATAACATGACAATCTTATTTGGTAATACTTTGATAAACTTTATCATATATGACAGTGAATTTTTTGTTAAGTTAACTTTTTCTTATACCGTAACTGGAAATTGTTAAGTTAATTTCAAATTTTGTATAACAATTTAATTTAACAATAATAATTTTTCTAATAAAAAAAAAGAAACTCTTTTACTTTATAGAAAAGTACTGATAGTACTAATAATTATAATTATTCTTACATTTAGAAGCACCATCATCACTGATAATTAATTATGATTATTATTCTTACAGTTAGAAGCACCATTATCACTGATAATTATGATTATTATTTTTACAGTTAAAAGCGCCATCATCACTGATAAGAGAGGCACCATCATACTGATAATTAATTATAATTATTATTTTTACAGTTAGAAGCACTACTATCACTGATAAATATAATTATTATTCTTACAGTTAGAAGCACCATTATCACTGATAAATATAATTATTATTCTTACACTTAGAAGCACTACCATCACTGATAATTATGATTATTATTCTTATAGTTAGAAGCACCATTATCACTGATAATTATGATTATTATTTTTACAGTTAGAAGCACCATCATCACTGATAAGAGAGGCACCATCGTCACTGATAATTATGATTATTATTTTTACAGTTAGAAGCACCATCATCACTGATAACACCAGCATTGGATTATACCGTAAGTGGTGATAACTTGGAATATATGCTAAGCAATTACTCGTCCACGATCTCATCCGCTGCTTCCGTTGCGTCAACGGGAAATGAGGTACGATCAAATGTTGCGGAACATTTACAACAGCAACAATATACGGGACAAACTGGTGCTAATAATACATTACGAACCGATGATGTAATTGTTGCTAGTGTTGTTACCACTAGTAATACCGGTAAAGAGGTACCACAAGTTTCGTGGTAATAAAAAAGAAATTGGTTTTTTTTTTTTGCAAACAATAATTTATCAATTATCATTGTCATTAGTGTTTTATCATCGTTATCATCATCATCATCATTAATTATCATTATTATCATATTTCCTATATGACAACGGTCTCATTGATACTCATTTTGTAGTCATTCATTTATCATTTGGGCTTATATTTCTATTCCCTATTTTTCATATTAATTTAAAGTATGCACTAAAAAAAAAAAAATTAGTAATAATAAATTAATTCAATTTTTACGTGATAGTGACGTAAATCAACGTGTTTTTTTTTATTATTACCAATTTTCAAATTCGTTTGTATTATTAAATTTTTAGGTGAAAAAAGAAAAAAATTTTTTTTTAAACGTTTAATTTTAAGTGCATACTTTTATTTATTCGTAAACTCAAACGTTTCTTCCTTTTTTTTTTTTTTTTTTTCGATCTCTATAAATACTATCATAATTAATTAAAAATTAAATTAAATTTTTTATTTCTTTTTGGAAAAAAAGGAAAAAACTATCCTTCGTTTTCTCATTTTTTTTCAATTTTTATGTGTTTAAAAAAAAGGAATTAAATTTATGAATTTTTTTTTTTTTTAATAGAAGTAAAAATTTTTTTAAGAAGATCAAATAGCTATAACTAATTAATAAAAATACATAATTTATAATTAAATTTTTCTCTAATATTAAAGTATTTATTTTTTTTATTCATTTATTTGTTTACTTTTTTCTTTTTTTTTTGCTTTGTTTTTGGAATGAATAATTATAAATAATCAAAATTTACATTCCAATTTAGTAATCTTATCGTTCAGCATTCTTTTACAATTAAAACCTAAATTTGCATAATCAGTTTGAGTTTACCAATTTCTCTTTTTTTTTAAAATTTTTTTCCTCTTTTTTTTCTTTCCTCTCATTTCAATCGTTTATTTATTTAAATCCTAAAATTTGAATTTTGTTTAATATTTCATTTTAGTTGTGCATCATTCTAAAATATACAAAATGTCCTCTTTTAAATTTATTTATCTTTTTTTTGTTGATTAGAAGATAATACAAATTAGTTTAACCTAATATTAAAATATTAAATTTAACATAATAATATCTTTTAATGAATGAATTAGAAGCGTAATTACTATCAAATGGATTAGTTGTTATATTATATTTACTTATAGTAATAGTAACTTTGTTTTTTTTTTTGGTGTGAGTTAAGTAATTAGTAATTTGTAAAAAGCAAAGTTAATTTTTCATATTTATTTATCATTTTTGAAAAGTTAAATTTACCATTATTTCAGTAAATATTTGATCATTTAATTTTTAATTATTATTTTATTTTTTTTTTTAAAAAACGAATTATATGAATTAGATGAAAAAAAATTAAAATAAGACACTTTTTTTTTGCAAATATTTTTGATTGAAACATTCATTCGTTTTTTTTTCTTTTGTCAAATATTTTTTCAATCAGATTTTAAATTTGTAAAATTTTTATTAAATTTAGTTTTTAAATTTTTAAGCTAAAATTTTATATATGTGCCTTTGTATTGTTTTCGCATAATGATTAAAAAATATATGTGCCTCAATGATGTTTTTTTTTTTTATTTTCTGTTAATTTCTTATCATTATAATACTTTTTTTTCTTTCTCATATTAAAATGTTTCCTTTCTTTTTTTTTTTAATTTTAAATTTTATTTTGTTTTGAAAGAAAAAATTGTGCCTGAGATTCCTTTTTCTTTTTTTTTTTTGCAGTTGTTATACCATAAATTTAATAATTCCAATGTGCCATATTTTGTACAGTTCAATGTTTTATATCATTTTTTTTAATTTTTTTTAATATATCTTTTTCTATTATTTTACTTTTTAAAACTTAATTTCTTTTTTTTTTTTTAATTCCATTCATTTTGTTTTCCATTTTAAATAGAAAATACACTGCCTTAAACTTTAAATATATATTTTTTTTCTTTTGCTGCAAAATTTAAAAGTATTAAAAAGTATAAAATTATAATCAATTTTAAAGATGCAAAAGTAAATAAAAAAAAAAAGCTTATTAAAAATTTGAAGTAAAAAAAAGTGAACTAAAAGTTATTTTATTGATGGAACTGAGAAAACAATCGATAATAAATTAAAATATCATCAATCAGTGATAAATATATTTGATAAAATTCAAAAGTTAGTAGTATGTTTTTTCTATTGTAACAATTTATTTTAACTTCTTTTTTTTTTTCTCTCTCTCTCTCTCTATCCTTTTTCTCTTCTTCTAAAAATTCAAGTTTTTATATTCAGTAAATAGATTATGCAAAAATAAACAAATAAACAATACGGAATAAAACAACTCATCAGTGTTTCATCGACTGTTAAATCAAATAAATATCAATTTGAAATCGATTCATTCAGGAATGTTTCGGCAATTGCATTATTACAGTATTATTAATTTGAAACAAAATGATAATTGAAATTTAATTTGAATTTAAAATATTTGAGTCAATTTTTCATCCAAATATTCAGTTTGAATAAGGAACAAAATTTAGTTAACTTAAAAAAAAAATCTATTTAGCATATTCTTTATCAAAATAAATTTTATACAATGCAAACTATGAAGATATAAGTGACAAATAAAATTATCGTATGACAAAAATGGCGGTGTTTTTTTAGTTAATTCATTTTAATAATTTGTTTTTTTTTAAAAACTTTTCCAGTGTCTAAAATATTTGTAATACAATTACATTTTAAAATTTTAAGTATTAAAATTTAAATTAAAAATTTTGTTTCACTCTTTCTATCCATTTCTCTAATTTCATTTTCTTTTATTCATTAATTATTGTGGAAAAAAGAAGAGAGGAAAGGAATTTTTGAATTGCATAACGATAATTAATTAGTAGTAAATAGTTAGTCATAATTTTTGTTTTGAAAATTATCTTCTTATTTTTGAAAAATAAGATATACAATAAAATGATAGAGTAAATTAAATGATAATAATAATAAATTGCAAATAGAATAAAATTATTTTTTTAAATATTTTCACATACCATTAATTCAATCATTTTTTCTGCTCCATTTTTTTTTGCTTCATATTATAATTAATATTTGTTATGTTCATAATAAATTATTAATGCATGAATTTGAAGTGTAATTTTTGCCCGTTCCCTTGTTGCTACCCATATTTTTGTTCCCATTCCCAACATTTCATTTTTCTTTTTCCCATTTTTTCTTTTTTTTTTTAAATAATATATACGCATTGATGATTTTTTTCTTTTGAAATTGAAACATAATTGCTTTTTTTGTAAGAAAAAATAGAGCAAAAAAACAATACCCGAATAATTTTACTACTGTAAGATTACGGTACTGATCGACAACTATTGGATACTGTAATTGTGAATGTTCCTAATGGCTGAGGTGGTTACTGTAGCATGAAAAACGGTATTCAATAAAAATTATCATTTATTGTAGCTATAAATCAAGTGAACAACTAATGATTTATGTATGATACAGTATTAATTAGCAATTATTAAAGATACAGTATTAATTAACAATTACTAAAGATACAGTATGAATTAACAATTATTAAAGATACAGTATCAATTAACAATTATTAAAGATCAATTATCGTAATATAAATCGCAATACTGATTAACAATCTGCGGAAAACAAAAAACAGCAAATTAAATTCAATAAAAATTTAAATCAAAGCAAAAAATATATATTATGATTCTATTAAATTATTATTTTCATACTTATTCAGTGTAATTTCAATATTTTTTTCAGTTTTTTTCTTACAAATAGTAATGATTAAGAAAAATAAAAGTAATAAAATAGCTTTAAATCTATTAGCTCAGCATTTGTAGTTTTATTTTCAACAAAATTTTTTCAAATAACATTTACAGATTTAGTAGTTAAACATAAACAAGGCATAAGATGAAGAATCATACTTCAAATATATTTTTGTTTACATAAATAAAATAATTGAAATGACAAAAAATAGGATTTGAATTTAGTTTGGTTTGTCCATGTTAAAAAAAAAATAATACATTTGCTTCAATTTTTTTCTTTAATTTTTTTTCCGAGAATATTAAAGGAATTCAAAATATTTTCAAAAAATTATAATCTTTCATTTTTTTTTTCATTGAACAATTAAATGGTAAACTTATAATAATAAGTTTAAAAAAATGAAGCAATTATTCATATTTATTAAATATTTTCACTGAAAAATGAAAATAATGCATGTGGTTAATATTTAATTATTTCAAAAGAAAAATAATATTAAAGTAAGCTTTATTATCAAAGTAATATTAAACTAAGTTTTGTTATCAATTAATAACAACTAAATGCATTCATTTTAAAATACATTAGAGTAAATTATACTTTATAAATTTAAATTTTGCATTTCCATTATTTAATAGTTCTTTTTTTTCATTTTTATTTATAAATTTAATCTTTTTTTTTTAACTTTTCGGTTTTTTTTCAGCTTTTTTAGTAATATTTTGATATTTTTTAGTTGTTGATTGCAGCATTGTTTTATTTACACTAACTATTGTTGTTGTTTTTATTATTTTCTCAGTTTTTTTAGGTAATACTGTTTTCGTATGACGAGTTATAAATGTAAATTTTACAGTGAAATTATGAATATTTGGAAGAATAATTTTTCTATATTGATTACGATAATATGCTTCACCTGCCTGATCATCATCAAAATCCGGATAGTGTCGTTTCAGTGGTTGTGCATCAGTCCAAAAACGTTTTGAACGATTCACTGATAATATTTCCGATTGTTCCATCATTTTTCTTGATACTATTTTCTTGTTTACATTACTGTTGATGCTATTTATTGGTATAATCATCAACAGGATGAAATCTGTGCAAACAATTAATGTAAATAAACAAATAAATAAATAAATAAACAAAATAGCTATTAATTACCTTTTGTAGAAAATTAAAATGAATAATTGATGAATTTTTGTTTTCTTTTTGTTTACTAAATTTGTGTCATTTTGAAGAATAAATTTAAAT